CGGAAAATCGACGGAGAGGCAGAGAGAAGAAAAAAAGGAGGTCGAAAGTAGAATCATCAATTCTCACAGTAGCCCAGAGTAAAAGGGGTAGGTAGACGAATATGGCGGATGATAAGCATCCACGGATGACCTTTTTCAAACGCGTTCACCTCGGCCGAGTGTGGTGCACAGGTGCGCACTTGTGAGTGGCACAGGTGTAAGCAAGATATCGATTATGCAATCTCATGGGCTGCAACCCCATACGGACGCGCGTATATCCATCCCTTCCGTATAACCAACCCCCTCCCGCCCAATACGTGCAAACCGGCTCGAGGCCGGTCTGTCAAACAGACATGACGTTAATTATCGCCTTACTACCGCCACCGCTAAACCACCATGCCATCCACTTGACGCATATGCCACTTTTCAGATTTCCCTGTATTTATATATACCATCCTCCGCTACTATCTTTTCCAATTTTCTTCTTTCCTTTCCTTTCCTTTTTTTTTTTTTCCCTCCTTCCACCGTGAATTTCCTCGATTCGAGAAGGAATAGAGGGTGGAAATAACGGCTGGTGATGTACAGGTTGATCTTTATCGAGTGATCAGTGTGTTACGTGTCTGTCTGATACGACGCTCGAGGACATGTGGAAATATTGCTCGCGTGGGGAATAATTGGGTTTGGCTTGGCGTTGTTTGAACGAAGATTTCGCGATTAACCGGTTTTTCCTTTCGTTTGTCTTTTCGTTTCGTCTCTCTCTCTTTTTTTTTTTCTTAATTCCAGTTATTACGATAATTTTGTAAACATAAAATCTAATCGCGCGTAAACACTTTTCACATCCCTCGTAATTTTATCGACAATTTACATAAAATATGTAGATTCGAGCATTGTACACGCGATAATCCGTCTAATACTTTCGTAAAACTTAAAAAGTGGAAAAAGCGTCAATTACTTGGCGCGCCTGGTAATAATATCGTGGAGAAAGCTCCAGCTATTGAAACTCGTTGGTAAATAGGAAATTTTTGAAAAAGGGTTGCACAGCCTGTAGATTTTACAAATCTGACGTACGTACGTATGCGCCGTGTGCATACAGCTCGCTTGCACAGTTGAGGGGGGAGAGAGGAGGAAGAGAAGAGAACTGTAGGGTACAAGTTGACGTCACACCGTGTACTCGGTTGCAAAGATTCTCCGTTAGCACTAGGGTAGAAATGTACGACTTGGTCAAATATTGAATTCCGCGGAAAATTCTGGAGAAAATCGGGCCACAGGTTACATGGCTCCCGTAGAATGGTATCGTTCCGTGGAAAAGCTCCTCGTTATTACACAAGAGGAGCGCTGTTCAAACTCCGACCATTGACGAAGTTGGTTCTACGCGGTTTGATTTGCTCATCTTTGTCGCTCACAATAGACTCCGCGATCTTTCCACCCGAACATCGTAACGAACACTTCAATCATGTAACGAAGCAAAGAAAATTTTAAACCGAGGTATCGAGGTCGCGACTCGTTCCAGTTGTTGCTTGAATTATTTTAGCGGATGTACGTGACTCTTCTCGAATCCAATATTTTCTCTCTCTCTCTCTCTCTCTCTCCTCTCTCAGAAATTATTGGAATATTTAAAGCGTTAACTTTTTAATCGAGAAATTTGTATACGAATAATTTCTCGAAAATATAATTAACCATGTCATTGAGTGCTTTTTTTCTTTTTGTACGAATACAAAGAGCGATTCGAGAGACGGAATATTCGGAGTGTAACATTAATTAAAATCTTCGATAATTTGGTTACGATTTTACCATATAATACGATGAATAAAATGCATATCCCCCCCCTCCGAAATATTGGAGAGGGGGGGGGAGGGCGGGGAGAGGAAGGGAAACGCGCGATAACATAACAATGCGACGTAATATAATTTAACAATCGTTAAATTGAAACAATATGTAGAATTAATCAAACTTTCAGTATTTTATCGAACGGTTGTTTTCTCGAAACTGTTGACACCTGTGTATTATTAAGACCAATTGAAAATTAATTTTCGCACGTCTATGAATAATTTACTAAAGCGTATACTAAATATTAACAATTTCGAGCGAAGCTCGAAAAACGCGAACAACGAAATTCTCTCGTTCGTTTCCAATCTATAATTTCGACCGGAATTTCCAAATAAACCGCCCTTACTCTTTCCTCGACAATTCTTCGCCACCACGTTATTATATTACGCTTCTTAATCGTTGCTCTCCTTTCACCAACAAGACAAACTTCATCGCGCGGACCAATTCTCACGCTGATTAACGTTTCATCATCGAGAATACATCGATCGCATTATCGCATGATCCCTGAACGTAATTGTCATTCAATTCTTGATGCGGCATCAGCCACGGTGTCGTCGAAGCATGAAATTCTCCCGATTTCCGTTGACGTTGTTTTGCGGTCTTGGCTATCGGAAAGAGAGCGTTTACTTTCAATGGTTAATGGCTGATGACGCGCGGTGAATGTAGCACCGACCAATCGATAATCGCCGCCGTCCAGTCCCTCAACAATCGTTACGGTTACTCCATATCTCTTCCGATCATATTCTCATTCTTTCTCTTGAGAGCCGATTTTTTTCTTCTTCGTTAATATTAAATTCAAGAGAGAGAGAGAGAGAGAGAGAGAGAGAGAGAGATTAAGAATTACTTTAATTTTGCTCGATTTGGATTTTTCTTTCTATTTCTGTATAACATAGTGTGTATCGTGTGTAACGAATTAAAGATAAATTTCTTTCTTTCTCTTTTTTTTTTCATCCTCGCAAAATTATCATCCTCGTTAAAATGTAACAACCATCGCGTGAGCGGGGTTGGGAAACACATTGGAAATTCGAGAAACCGGTGATCTAGAAAGGGGTTCTAATTATTAAACCGTCCTCATCAATATTCCAGCCAAGCAGAAGATACGTAGCGGAAAACGCGCGAAACGATGGTCATCGAAACGTGAATAATTACCAGCGGTACGATGAATACGTAATGAAAGCTGTATTAATTATCATAGATAATTAAACACCGTGAACACGCTCTATGTTTACGAACAATTAACGGCATTAGCCCGGTTTGCCTTCTCGAAACTTTGTAAAAAAGAAAAAAGGAAAAGCAACCTCGAAAATACTACGTTGTCAAAATTAATTCCGCTCCTCTTTTTATAATCGAGAGGAAGAAAAAAAAAAGAAAGAAGAAGAAAAAAATATCGCATCGATCGAACCAAGCGAACCGCTTCGCTTCGCGCCTGCCCTTGAAAACACATCCTAAAACACGTCCCGCTTCGAACTTTGCATTAAACGTGGCGGGCTCTCGAGCCACGCGTCGAGAAGAAGAAACTTGTTCTACTCGTTAAATATTTCCACTATAGTCGTGACGAGTTCGCCTGGCTTGGAGAATTGGATCGACGAGGGTGCGCAGCGCGGAGAAGAGAGAGAGAGAGAGAGAGAGAGAGAGCCGAGGAAGAAACGATTACATCGGATCCCTGGCGCTACCTGGCCGGTAACAGTACGGCTGTAATCTCATCCAGCCACTCGGCTCGCAGCGACGCTTTTTATCCTATTACGTCACATGAATAAACTAAAGACCCATGGAGTCCGCGACACGTCGGAGAGATCGCGGGTTTGGGGCTCGAGACGTGCTCTTTCCGCTCGAACCATCCCCGCGCGGAGAGGGATGCTCGTCCGTGTGCGGATGGTTCGACGAGAGCTGTCAGACAGGGAAAAAAAAAGAGGAAGAGGAAGAAGAAGAAGCAGGCGGAAACGGAGCTTGAGTGCGATTGATTCCGTTTAGATCAATTGGCGATACGTGAAAGGAGAGGATGTTTGATAGAAATAGCTTTGGATTCGTTCATTTTGAATTTGAAGGTTGGAGGGAGATAATCCTTGATGTGTATTTTGTTATATCGAGGAGATTATAGGAGTTTGATAAAGAAAAGAAAAATTGATCAAATATTTATTCTAATTTGAAAGATAGATATTTCGGGCGAAGTGTCGGTGTTGTGTGTGAAATCAAGTTTGCGAGGCAATATCGAATATTATATATATATATAAATGAATAATATATGCCTTATTAAATATAGTGATAATTGTTCGCTATAATTCAACAGTATACAATGCTTGTTAATAAATTACAAGGTTTATGAAGAGATATTCAATACCCATTTCCTTTAACGACGATCGAAAGATTTTATATTGCCAATTTTTGGATCGATAAAAATAATAAGAAAAAAAAAAAAAAAAAAAGAAAAGAAAATTCCATCGATCAGATGGGTTCGAAATCGGAAGTACAAGTATTCGCGAAGGTTAAGCGTCGGCAAGATAAACGACGGAATGTGTGATACATGTGACAGGGGAAAGTTGAGCGGCCAATGAAAATGGATGATACGAACTTTCGATGTCTCTTTTTATCGCGCTCCTACATTCCAAACCGTATCAAGACCGTTGTTTCTTTCAACCACCGATCTTCATGTATAATGTATCGCTCTTTCCCGCGATTCTTTAATCGCGATATATTCTGATTTATGTCACCACCTCGAACCTCATCTCCTCTTCTCCTCGTCCCGATAAAATAATAATCCGATTTACGCGGTGAAAGTTTAATTCGCGCGTTGTTCAATCAGATTAATCGATCATCGAATACGAATAATCGTTTAAATCGTTTAAGACATCGTTCTCAATTATATTGAAAATTAATTCGATATTGAAAAATTAGGGGGGAAAAGAAAAATATATATATATATATATATATATCATCTTATTATACCGGTTAAGATTAAAAGGGAAGAATCCGACTCTTGTTGAAAGAAACCTTAAATCTCTTTACATCAACCGGCAATATCCAACCGTAAATCTCGTTCTCGTCAAAGAGGTCTTTTATTATCGGGCATCGATGTCCCTCCCTCTGCCCCTACCTTCTCCCTCCCTTGGCACGAAGAAGAAAGCAAGCGGAAGAAGGCGAAAATAAAAGACACGGCACGGGGACGAACGATAAAAAGGGGGTGAATGATTACTCACTGTAGGATTGGGCATACAGCGTCGCGGCGGTGGCGGCATGGGGTCCGGTGCGGCGCGATAAGGAGGCGGCGAATACCTTCCGAAGGGAACAGCCAGGGGCCGTGATCGGTGCCCCGTGGAGCCCCTTGCTCCCCATCATCTTGTCCGGTGAGTACATCATCCTGCTGCCAGCCAAGTCTAAGCTGTCTGAGCTTAGACCTAAACCAGTCGAGAACCGGTACCCTCAAACGGAACGACTCTGCTTCACATCAGTGTCCGCGGTTCGCATCTGTGTGCGCGAGAATTATCTCCTCCCCCTCCTCTGTCTGCACCTCTTTCTCTCTCTCTCTCTCT